AACAAAAAAACCCCAGCAAGCTAAAGTGTTACTTGCTGTCATGCAGGAAGCTCTCTACTGGGGCTTACGCTCGTTTGTGGATAAAATGACATTGAAAAAGAGCAGTTTTTCAACTCAAGAGTTTTTGCCTTTTCTCAGAGGAGTGTACAGAAGTATTTCCTTTATCTTGGCTATCTAAAAACTTGCATAAACATGATTATGCTGTGTGACCAAGTCTATTTCTCTCTGAAAAGTACGCTTTTGCTCCTGGCATTCACGAGCTGAAACTACACACAGATTAACTGCACATTTTTGAGTTATCATCAAGCGTTGCTCTGGATGCGTTTGGGCGACAGCCAAGCTTCAAGCAAGGAAGATATTAAACAGAGAAAGAACAGAGCATGTATTTTATAAAAGGTTTTTAATGTATAATTTGTTTCCTTGTTGGGCAAAGATCTTTTGAAACACTTAAGCCGYGGCTGTCTTGTATCCATAGGTCTGCCTTTATCCACAGCGTGTGTTACAGGCTGTCCAGCTGATTATGTGCTTGTTGTGGTGAAGCTGGTTGTTCAGACAGGGCACTGCTCCTTCTGAAGAACTGTTTTGCTCCTGTTCATGGCTAATGAAGCCTCCTGCTGTGCTGGCTCCCGACCTAGAGTTTTTCCCTGGCAGTACGCAAYGGCCCAGTAACAACAGAGGAACGTCCATCAAGGGATGCGACAGGGCACAGCTTTGTTCTGCTTCATTCTGCAGGTTTTAACTACCATACTTGTAACAGTGGAGTGTATTTCCACATGAAGAGGGTACTCAAGTTGAATTGTAAACCGTGTGCTTTAATTTGTCTCAGTAAACTTCACTTTCCTGCCTTTTTCCTAAACCTGTAGCAAAACAAGCCGTAGKCACAGGATACTGCATTTAACTTTCCAAGCTGCTACTCCTCAGGAAACTCTCACTGACTGACTGTTGGTTCCTTCAGTAACAAAAAAATGCGACAGAACAATAGGGCGAATCGAGACAATGGGCCATTGTTTTTTTAGGTAAAAAGCGGTGAAATAATRATGAGAGAGTTTATTTTCCTGGTGACGTTTTCCATCCTGTCGCTTTGCTCTGCTTACGCACATCTGCATGTTATGGGCTTTTGCAGTGTAGCCTTGGTTCCCTTCTACAGAGCCACATTTGGAGACTTAATTATCTCAGGAACGCTGTAGTAATTGAGGGGTTTGTTTTGGTTCTTAAAATCATGCTTTGTTATTTATAAACTCAAAACTATAATTATGGACAGTAGAGCAAACTGGGGACAATTAATTGTCTGTGCCTTCCCTGGAGTAGCACRGAAATGTCTGCTGACTGCATTTCGGTGCTATTCATAGCGTGGTCCTCCAGCACCACGGGGATTGCTGTGAAGATAAATTTAAATGTAAAAACTAGAGCAATTTTAATATTTTATCCTTACTAGACGATAGAGCTCATAAGAGCCTAGACTGTGGATGCTTTAATTACACTGGGACATGACAAGCATGATAAGTAGAAAGTAAGATTCAAGATCTCAGAGCTACTGGGAAGGGAGATTTCTTATATTTTCTATTTAATTGTGCCACAAAATAMAACTTGATGCTATTCATACACACAACAGTGTTGTAAATTAGTCTTGCACAGACTGATCTATCTYGCCAAGAAATAGCCAAATAGTTTTGCAAGGAAAGAAGTATGGTTTTGCAACATAGTTTTCTTAGTATCTTCCTTACAAGAAAAATAAACCAGGTTTCCCCTCCATTTTGTTTACAGAAATTCATAAAACCATGATTGTGCCTTTCCAGGAGAAGCTGCAGTTTCCCTGCAGGTGCCTCATATTGTCCCCATGCAGTGGGAGATATTAAATGTGGCACTAGCTGATTGCCTGTGAAGCTTCTGTATGGATATGGATGTTTGAGCAACATCCATAATAAGTCATCTCAAACTGCTGTTTGATTCTTTCTAAGGTGTTGTCTCCATRTTATCCCTTCAGGCCATGCACCCTGGGACTGTTTATCTGACCCATCAGTCTCTCCCTAGAACACCATTCCAGCTCATTTAGTTGAGAGTTGACAAACATCCTGTAATTTTTCTACTGTCATGTGCACAGGATTTTTTATATTGTYTAGATAGCTTCAGTAATTCAAGGAAAGCTGAAATTGCCTGCTTGTCTTTTGTTGTAGCTTTTTCTGCACCCCRTCTAGTTAACTAGCTCCAAAATCTCTCAAGCTATTTGCATTTTTGCTCCTTTGTTATGATCCAAAGGGATTGAGCTATTGGCCACCAGCTGAGCTACAGAAACTGCAATGAAATGTTCCCCACGGCCACCCTAATTCTGAGGCCTTTGTCCAGAAGAGTTTAAAGTTTTAAGATCAGTGTTGTTGGTGGGTGTGTCACTTGTTCCATGGATCCTGCAGCTGTGGKGCTCCTGCCTTTGCCTCTCCTCGGAGCAGCATTGTCACATGGCAGACCCACAGCTTTTTAAGGCAGCTTGCCAAGCTTATCCCTGCGTTTGCTGAAGTGTGTTTAGCACCATGCGGTTGGTTATTATCAGAAGATCTGCTTTTTGTAGTGACTGAATACTTTGCTATTGCTACTGCTGAACTAATTCTGTAATGACATTGAAATACTTCAGAATACRTGCAACAGGTTTCTTCATTTGTAGTTTAAAATTCAAGCTTCCAGAATTTCAGTTGCTGTGAACATGAAAATAAAGTCTCTGTGCTAACGTTTAGTTTGCACAAGTGGTGCCTGTCTGAATTCATTAATAAAATACATCCATTATTTAATATTGTTCTCTCTCTCTGTGATCTTGTGTACTTAAATAGTGAGTTGCTTGGKTTTTTTTTTAAATTCCTCATAAGCCACTTAGTCATGTCATTCCCATCTCTCCAGCTAAACACAGCTATGCCAAGAAGGAGAGGAGCTCAGCAAGGCTGTGGTGAAGTGTCAGATGTGAGCAAAGCGTGGGACTCTTACCCGGCTTCCCAGAACCCAGGAAAGGTTTGGTGCCTGTCTGTTGCCACAAAGGGCCATGCACTGGAGGGTTGTCCATGGCTTCTTCGTCAYCACAGTCCTTCTGAAGTTGGTCCGTGCTCGGGGAAGGACACACTAGGCTAACATCCTGTCCTGGTCCCAAAATATCTTGCTGTTGCCTTTGGTCCTTGACGTGAAAAACTGGATCAGATGCAAGGGTCAGTTGGACACTTTCCACTTCTCAGTTGTCGGCTGGATTTGTGTGAAGCAGTGTCAGGTACAAGAATATTATCTGTGGGCTTCTCAAGGTGGGATTCAAACACAAGCAGTGCAAAAGCTTCAGGAATTACGGGTGTTAGATCATTGGGCCATAACACAGCTGAAAGCATCCTGGGAACAGGAATTAATAAAATGAGGAAGGTGAGGGAAGAAATCAAGCATTGCTGGCATGTACTGGACAGTGCTCCTGTTTTCTAAATAGCTAAATAAGTCTCAGCCATGTGGTTTGCATTAGTATTGGCGTTTTAATGTGCTTCTCATGGCTAGATTTCCAAACAGCTTCTCAGCTTCTCTACGATGTTTCAGCCAGGACTTTATGCATATGGAACAGGTCTCAAGCATTATTAGGTTTGTTCTTAGTGGCCCCTGGGTGTGCCCTGCTGACACCTGCCCAGTCAGCCAGGGGTGAGTGTGGGAGGCATGTGCAAATTCTCCTCCACTGAATTATTCGGGTGATGAGGGAGGGTGAGCAGTTTTACCCCTTTAAACATGCAGGTTTTCACAGAATTTTCTTTAGAGAAAATATTTCAGAGAAAAATGTTAGGCCAAGGTATGACCCCCTGCTTGAGAGGGTTGGAATGGAAACACTGAAAGCCCCTTCAGGCATTTGTCCTGAGAATGGGACTGCTGTGCTATACATGTTACCATTTACTGCAGGTTTAAGGTCAGAGTGTTTACGTAAAGTAAGCTGAATTCAAATATTTTCTCAAGTGTGGTCATAATAATAGTTCCCTACTCAATGTGGTTGAGTGTAGTGTATTACATGCACACAAGCATTAGCAAGAATCTATTTGTGCACACAGCTCCTATGTAAAATCTTCAATTTGCTTCCCCAGTAAACTTTTTAACTTAAACCTTTTGAATAATAATTGAGAGGAGCTAGAGTGCTACATATCAGCATAGGCTCAACCAGGCAAGACCCTGATAAACCTTTTTAAATCAGCCCTGTTCTGGTGACCTCCAGGTCCCTTCCTAGGTAACCTGTTCTATGCTCCTATGAGCTGAGATGTTAGCAGAAAAATTAGCWCTGATGATGCCAGAGCCAGAATACACCCACCACACACACCACAGGCACCTGAAGAACTTAGCTTTGCAGAGTTCTAATAAAAAAGAGGATGTATCAAAAATATAAGTCATGCCCACTTCTGTGCAATACATTAAATCAAGGTTTAAGTTGTGACATTTTAAAAGCTTAATTGTTTCCCACTGGGCAATTTCCATCATGCTATATCAACTCAATTACCATCAACATCTGGTCAAAGTTAGATTCCTAATGCCAAAAAAAGGTTTTAGCTTTTCAGGACACAGCCTGTTGGTTGCCCATATAATGCAGCCCTTGCATGTTCGTATTACACACAAAGGTCATATTTATTCTCCAGAAAATACAGCTGTATTTGTACAAAGCATGTTTTGTATACATGACATGTAACTATACCACTATATGAACTCCAGGATATTTCCTTCCATTTTCTTTATTGAGGAAAGGCTCAAGTGGAAACCTGAGAAAGGAGCACGTCTGACTTGGGGCAGCAGACCAGCCCCTACACAGCTTTCAGCCAGGCAGAATCTCTGCAAGGAGATAACTAACGTCCTTGTATTCGCTGGTTCTGTCCTTGGGTGCTATTCCCAMACAGCTCCAGCTCATCTGGA